GGGGTTTGGTTGAGTTCGGTGGGGTTTGGTTGAGTTCGGTGGGGTTTGGTTGATTTCGGTTGGGTTTGGTTGGGTCTTGTTGGGTTTGGTTGAGTTTGGCTGGTTTTGGTTTGTTTGGTTTTGATTGGGTTTGGTTTGGTCGGGTTTGCTTGGTTTTGATTGGGTTTGGTTGGGTTTAATTGGGTTTGGTTTGGTTAGGTTTGGTTGAGCTTGGTTGAATGTGGTTGAATTTGGTTGTGTTTAGATGGGTTTAATTGGGCTTGGTTAATTTTGGTTGGCGTTAGTTGTATTTGGTTGGGTTTGTTAAAATTTGGGTGGGTTTGGTTGGTTTTAGTTAAGTTTGGTTGGGTTTGCTTGAGCTTGGTTGCGTTTAGTTGATTTTGGTTGGGTTTGGTTGGTTTTGGTTGATTTTAGTTGGGTTGCATTTGGTTTGGTCGGGTTTGCTTGGTTTTGATTGGGTTTGGTTGGGTTTAATTGGGTTTGGTTTGGTTCGGTTTGGTTGATTTTGGTTGAATTTGGTTGGGTTTGGAAGGAGGACATTTCCAACAGAGCAAAAATAAGAAAAGCTTCACACCACTCTTAATTTCTGCTCGCCTTTAACCTGCTAGCTTACATTTCATGGCCTCTCTGTGCATAAATGCTGGTCACAGATCCATTGCTTTGTTTTTCTGACCTGACGGCTCCTAAACGGTCGATGATTCCTCCACTCTGGAATGGCCAGAGGCAGGGTCGACGTTCAAGGGGAATTGACAGCAGTTGCTGTTAATTAATGGCTCCCTGACACTAGAAGAGTGTTTTCTCTGATCACACAAGACCGTGTACTGTTTAAACAAGAGCTCAACGTCTGAAACGACATCACTTTTTAGGCGGCTGCATCTTAAAATAAAACAAATAAATCTTTTTTCTTTTGTCTTTATTTTAAAGCATCCAGCAAACTATCTCAGTCAAAGAAAAAAATGTTTGTTTTAGTTAAATGCTTCACAGCTAAATCAAAAAATTTAGAAGCTGAAATGTAGAGATAAAATGTATACATGTAGCAGGCAGGGGCGGAGCCRGAGGGGTGAACAGAGGGGATTAGCAATTAGCTCATTGGGACTAGCAATTGGTATATTTTTAAAAATCGTTTTAGCTATGATCATGCAAAAAATTCAGCTCAACATTTTTTAAACAGCTGATATAAAGCTATTTGAAATTAGCTGTGGTGGCCATCTTGAATTTTCAAATCCAAAGTATTTTTTTATTTGTATGCCCCCCTAAAAAAGACCTTAGGCAGCCCTTGCCAAAAAAATGTTTAGCTCTGCCCCTGGTAGCAGGACCTCAAGCAGCTGTCATTTATTTGTTACTTAAGGTTCTTATAAATGATGTTTTTGATGGTTTCATGTGACACAAAGTCACCCACCTGGAGTAAAGAAAATCTGTAACGACATCATCTGGTGGGTTTATGTGACGCTTTAATGGAGATATTGGATGTTAATATATAAATTTAAACATTTAAATAATGTCTCAGGTTGTACAAACTGGATCTCCACTGTGACCCGGAAAAGAAACAACAGGTAAAAAACCTGGATGGGTGTTTGTTTAAAGAGGCCCAACCACAGAACACAGGCAGTAATACTATTGGTCACCAGCAGAGGGCGCTAACATATTTACAAAAAAATGCTCATAAATTCCACTTTAGCAMCTTCTTCACTTCGTTCATCCTGTTTAATTTTGTTCTTGTTAACAGATTTTTACTCATTTTAGTCTCTTATTTGTTCAGTTTACCTCTGTTTACTTACACTTCTTTTGGTTTAGTTACTTTTTTTGATTAAAGCTTCTTGGAGCACCTCAGCAATGATTGATTGAATTAATTAAAGTAGCAGAAATACATTTACATATATTATGCAGCAGAATGATATAATAAACATAAATAACTTCCAAATAAGAAAAAAATAAAGATTTCATCTTTGTTCTGAAACGTTGAGCTTTTAGGAATTAGATTTTCATAAAAGTCACTCAGGTAATGAACCTATAACAGTTTATTCTTCAGCGTTTTCTTACTTTTCATATCGTCCAGATCGGCGCTGACCAACATCTGGGCCTCGGCCTCRTCGGTGGGCACCTGCTGGTAGACGGCGGTCTCCAGCGTGGTCATGCTGCCGATGCAGATGCGCTCCCGCAGGTCGTAGTTGCTGCGCTGGGCGCCCGGCAGGCGGTGGTAGAGGGGGGTCCTGCGGAACCAGCCACGGCCTGAGGCTGAACTTGAGGGGACWGATCCCGAGGGAGAACTGAGAAAAACAAAAGAACAGGAACCGTTAGGAAATAACTTATCTTTTCTCATTTATCTAAAATTTTAAGACTTTAAGGCATTGATTATTATTTTTTTTAACTGGTTTTATATTGCATGAAAAGATTTGCTGTAAATGGAAATTAAACTCCTGGACTTTCAGTTGCGGTGCTAAAACATCACCAGCAGAGGGCGCCTGAGCCCCAGCCTGGATCTCCTCATTATGAGTCATCGTCAGGCAACACAACCATGCATGCTGCAGGCATGACAGTCATATGTGCACCCTTATCRCAGACAAATAACTGAATCACCATGGAGCCCCTGACCTCCTGGCAGCAGACTGCATGCATAATTCAAAACATCACCAAATTATTCATGTTCTGCTTCAGCTGGGCAACTTTAATTCAGATTTTACCTGCATCAGTTATGATGATTCATTTCATGGTTTAATAATCAGTTAATATCCAAAACGAATAAAAAAATGTCTGATCTGATTGTTTTGCAGCTCAATGAAAAAAACTGATGATGCTGCCAATAAATCTGTTTATAAAACTGATACAGTTTTAACTAACAGCGGCTTAAGTGTGAAGAATTATTTATTTA